ACTTCAAATACTAGTATTGTACTTTGCAAAACTTCAGCAAGATGAGGCAAGAAAGAAATATATATATCAGTTACAAGTTAACCCAAATATCGAAATTAAAATGTATATACAATTGCTTGCACCATGAAAGCTTAGAAACCAAAGACGAGATTTATTTAAGGAAACAACGAAATCATCTAATGTATAATGATATTGAAAAAACAATAACACTGAATTACTCTTTTCATTGGCTAAATTCATAAAATAATATGTCATTCAAGTTGAGACAGAAACACCTCGCAAATTGAGTTCCCTCTTCATCTTCTTTTATCTATTTCATTTTCAAGATTTTTCTCAGTAAATATAATTGCCTCTATTATAATTGTATTTTGCACATTGTTAAATAATATTCTCGCCATATTAGGTGAGGTTAATCATTTTAGATCAGCCATTGTTTTTTGTGTGTAGTTTGTTTTCTTGTCTTGGGTTCTATTGTCCTTGTTATGTATAGCCAATTTACTTCATTTCGAGGAATGTGACGTGTTTCAATAAACTACTAACTTTACATGGAAACATAAGGAGTGGGCGGAACAATCACGTGATCTTAGATTCAATGAGGGTTATTATCACTTTACCTTGGAGAGTATCAGTATATGTGTACGTCTGGAGTCTGTTAAAATAAGAAATAACAATCATTTTACCTCCATGATCTATCGAAGTTAAAACCCAGTGAATAATTAATGTATTTACAGTATATCATGTTGCAGCGACCTTCCGAGCTTACCAGCTTTAGTGAAGGTTACAATATTTGCAATACCATGCCATATTGAGAAATGTCCACGTGACATCAAGGAAAAAATGGTGCACAAATAGCTGCGATTCTATGGTGAAAAAAACAACGCAAATTCTACTTTCTTAGTTCACATTTGACCGTAATCCAAATCCTGCCTCTTGTGTCCATATTAATTCTACGGTTATTAGGCACAGCTGCTTGCAGCCTTGGAATTATAATCGATCACAGTCTTGTTGTCGAGGGACTGTGATTCGACAGTACACTTCGGTTCCACAATTATACTGTCAAAGAATGTACTTTCACTTTATACGTATAAGATAAATTCGACTATCTTAGCCAAGGAAACACGTCTTCGTTTATTTCACTCGTACATTTTTTATTGTTGAAATTTTGATTACTGTCATTTTATGTTACAAGTATATGGTTTGCAAGCCAAACAACTCAAACTTTAAAAAAAACCTGCGTGTTCGTGCATCCCTTCTTATTACACCACATTTACGGAAACAAATAACCGTTGTTACACATACTAAACATTTTGACCGTACAAATCACTCGTATATACTGAGACGAACAATGTCACTGTCTTCCTGCTGCTTATAGAATCCAATTTAAAGTGCATGTGCAATGCCCACCCTCACGTTTCCCATTTTAGATCTGTGTCCCACTGAAAAGGGTAGTTATTGATTTTTTTGCTGAAAATGATTACTCGTATCCAAGTAAATTTGGGATATTTCTTGTGTTGTAGCCACGCCCACCTATCGTGAAACGGTCGACTGTTTCCGGATTTCCGACTCTCGCCGAAAGTGCGCCACCAAATGACAAAATGTGAGAGGAAGTCATACCCCTGAGCGGTAATAACACTGGTCGTTCAGTATACTTTTAAACGATATACATTTTTTAGTCGGCGTTTTTTTTTTTTTTTGTTTTTTTTTTTTTGTTTTTTTTTTTGTCTATTTTATTATTTTTTTGAGAGAGAGGTTTTAGATGTTGTGTTGTGGGCAGTTGCAGTGAAACGTATAGCCATAGTGTATGTATTCACACGTTTCTAATCGAACCGAAGGTGCGACATTACTTAACCTTAGATTCATTCAACTGTCCTTGGCTATAAAAAACGACTAGGTTTAAAGAGAAACGCCGACAACGTAAACCTGGCGCAACATTTTTGAAAGAAATAGATTCCGGACCAGCCCATGATCACCGAGGCGGATTTCAGAAGAGAGAGGGAGACGTCCGGCAAGTGTTTCAAATCAGTTGACTTTTTTGCGATCATGATTATCGTTTTATAGAGACCATTTAGTCCCTGTTAAGTAAAAGGTAGCAATAATTTTGACAGTGACACGAAAACGAAGCGTCGGACAAACAGGAAATTACACAGCCCTTACACACTGCTAACTGTTTTCATTTTCGAAGGCTAAAAGTTTCTGAATTGTTTGGTGATTGGTGTTGAATGTCGAATTCACACCTCTGTTCTTTTTTACCTCCATGCTTGCAGCTTGATCTGCGTAATAATTTATGAAATAAGAATCCGTGCTTGGTCAATGTGTTTCCACCGAATAAAGTTTTAATACGGTGGTCGTCGCTCAGCGCGTGTTCGAATTTCATGTAAACAAACAATGTATTTTACACGCTTTGTATACTAGTATGTCGCTATGAGTCCCATGTCGACAAGACACGGTGCGACGACCACCGCAATATAAAATCCTGCTGATAACACAAAAATCACTCCATATATATTCGGTTTTATCCAGCAAAGTAAGCCTTGGTGAAACGGCCGTTCTATAGTCATTCTTTCTTTGGCTCTAGCAATGAACACTTACTCGCCTTACCCGAAACCAGACTTTGTTTAACCTAACATTCTTCTTCTACACTCTACTACACTACTTATTATACAAATGGACACAGTAGTGCATTGATTGCGAATGTAAAAGTGAGCATAATCGCCACAAATAGTGTGTCAGTTCATAGGCGTAGTAATTGTTAGTACGTCCATGGTCAGTTGTATGTGGTGCGTAATCTGAAAGGTAACTGATCAATAGTATATGTATAGAAATAGTTGGATTTAGATCATCTTCACAAAATATCAAAATAAACCAGATTTCATAGAAAAAAGTCAAAATTAACAAATCTGAGGGAGAACCACCCAAGGTACCTTTCTGGAAAGTATCAATGTGGCTCACAATTTAGGAAGAAGTTGTAATATTGACACAGACAGACAATCAGCAATATGAATACCTCCACCCAACTTCTTTGACAGTCGAGGTAACACATCTCGTGGACACTAAATGTAATGCAAGGGCGTTACAGCAAAGTAAACGAAGAATATGTAATTTGGGCATGGTCAATTGTTCCATGTAGTCAGTTGCTTTGTGTGCTCCTCTAGTAAAACAAAACAGCGTTTTTAAACATTTATTCTATAGAATCTATGGTTTAAACTTAAAATATGTTTGCTGCATTTTACTGCATTTTGTATGCATGGTTTTGGAATCTGAATTAGCCTTGAGATTCGACAATAAATATTAGTATCTGTGTTGCATCCGGCATGGTGACAGGCTGTGTGTGCATCAACATGGGGGTATAGTATGTGCAATGCTTTCTTTGAGACATTTGCACTTCAGTGTGTTTGGTGTTAATTACGCATGTATTCAACTCTCGGAGAAAGGCCGGAACGAAGGCCATCTTTCCTAAATCTGATTGGCTGTCAGCAAATGCAAGGCGTAGCAACAGTTGCTAGGTATGCCCAGAGTAGTTGGATCAGATGTTTTCCGATGCCACCGTACATTGTCTTTTTCTCGTCATATAAATATTAATTACAAACACAACACCAGGTTTTTGGTGTGGCAAGAACTTTTAAAAGTATTTCTTGCATCTAACAAGAAAGAAACTCGAAGAAAACACACACACACTGTAATAGTTTGGATTGCCTAACATATCTGTTTAATTCTGTCAAATCATGGCGTATCTGGTAGTCAAATAGCAGTTCTGTATTATCTATAATCAAATACACTAGTCGAATACTTGGTCGCGGAATTTCTAAAATTAATAACAACTAAGACAGTTAATTCTCTATTATCTCCGCGAGTATGTGAGGTGATAGCCAAATGTCAGGTCGGACAAATAAAGAAACGAACTTTCAGATAAATCCATAAACCCGATGTACACGCTGCGGACAATGCAATTTATTGGGAGGGGGTACATGTACTATCGGCATTAGAACAAGACTGTTTTTTCATCGGAGGGTATATTTTTGCTTTCTATCACTCTGTTGCCAAATAAGGATTTCCATGACTGTCCGTGACCATGTTCCTTTAGATTTTATATAAACTAATACATTTTAATTTTGTTTGTTTTTTGCAACTAGTCTCTGTTGCGAATGTAAATGTGTTTGTTTTGTTTTGCTTTTGATCGTCCAATTTATCATTCTTACTTCTACGAATTCATTCGTATTACATTTTATTTATATCTAACAAATTGTCATCATGTTCCTATCTACAACGCCACTATAGAAATACATGTTCAGAAATTACTTCCGCTGCCCATCAAGTTTTTGTTTTGTTTTCAACAATCATTACTTTGTGTTGACCAATCTTACGTTAGCTGTGGTCAATGGGAGAAGGACATTATATTGTCAATGAAAGGTCAACGACCATCTGTGTGTTGCTCTGATTAGGGAAATTAATTATTTTCCTACACCACACAACTGAAATAGTGGTATAAATATTCAGTCTCCTTGGCGAATACCATACATACTTCGTAATGACGATATGATAGGGTGAATAGTAAATTATATTGGATTTTCCAGTGAATTTTAAACAATCTATATCTATTACAGAGCGATAGCATCTCTGTTTATTGTTGTTCGTCCTTTTAAATTAATTTACATAAACAGCAGCGCTTTAAATTATTCGGCTTCGTTGTATATACTGTGTTTGTAAAGGTTTCTTTGTATCTTGTCCGCTTTCTTCCGCTGATCAGCGGAATAACATTACCTCACAGTAGGACGTAGATTTCTATTGTTTGAAGCTAACAGAGGTAATCCTACGGAGCCAATACACAATGGGGAACTAATCAAGAATACGCAAAATTGAACGTGATTGGTCCACCACACAATAGAGTTTAAATGCCACGCGTAGCTGCATAATGTACACTGTACTGTTCGCGTGCCAGCGTCATTAATATTCAAATGAGGCTAAATCGAGCCCTGTTTTGCAGAGCAAAGCTTGGCTGGGTGCCCGGGCGTACCAATCAACCTGTCCTACCCTCCAAGCTATTGTGGCTCTCACATTTTAGTAATTTCGTTCATAACTCTGCCTTAGAAAAGACAAACATGATTTTAATATAGACATATATTCACGGCCGTTCTGCACCGTTGCAATATTATGTACAGTTGTCGACCGACGGGGTGTGTACAAGGCCGCGTTTTTTATTGACGTTTTATAAGTACTATGAGCACGGAGGCCGATGCTGATTCGATGCAGACACTCGGGCTTGAACAAAACGAACATCTCATAATGGAAGGATACAAACACAAGTAAGTTTTATGCATTTCATTGCAAAATAATAATTTTATTGTGTCCGCCGCGCAGATAAACAATGCACAATGGTGACCTCCGAGTCGATTTTTAAAATTTTATTTTATCGCAGTCTTTTGTGCAAAGCATTCAATAATAAATGCTCAAACCATTGTTGGCAAAGGCTTGGTTTGGAGTAAATGTATGCACGCGCATTATTTTTCATGCTGAATTTGTCATGTAGCAATACGTCAAAACAGGAATAGATAGACAATCCATTTAAAAATGTTGCATTTAATAATAACATTAAGGGAGCTTTGTATCTACAGCTGTTATCAAGGCCTCACTCGTTCTTTAACTGAGAGTATATTAATATTAATTAGCCGCTGTTCATTTTACCACAGCATTATCCTAAATCGCCCAAATTAATACATGCATAGAACGAGCATAAGAATTACATAATACACACAACATAACTTAAACCAGTACATATTATGTCAAAGAAGGAAAGCTTAGTATGATGATTAATCCAAATTACCAAATAAAATCCATATAAATAGAAATTTGATATTTTATAACACTCAGAACAATAAATTAACATAAATAGATTAACATAATACCAATAAACAAAAACAACAACACTCGCAATAAATAAATAAATATTCGGAATAAGATGCAATTGATTAGAATGGGAGCATACACCGCATAGATCAGCTGCTCACACGGTCAGAAAAAAGGTCACTTTTCTTACCTCTAAAGATCACACATCCTGGTACTTTCATTGGCATGAAAATTAAGCAATTTATTTTATTGATATTCCAGCACAATTTCACAGACTTGACTATTTTTATTGACTAATTGAGTACAATGTTTTTGCGATGTATATTTGTGATGCTCTCGTACCAAATGATGAAATTACCATTACCTTTAGGGGTCATGCGAGTACCAGGATGTATGACCTTTAAGGGTCATGAAAGTTGCCTATTTAGATATGCTTTTATATGCATCGACAGCATTTATATTTCCATTCAGAATCCATGACATTGAAAATGGCCACTTTATGCAAAGTGTTATCTTTCAATATGTTTTTAACAAACAAGTTGTGAGAAACCAACTGGCATGTTATCAACAAGGCTCTCGAAATACAGCTGGCGGGTATGTGTAGCAAAATATATGCACAAGCTTCTTGACCTTGTTGAAAAATTGTATCTACGAATTGCAACTTGAACAGAACCAGTGTATGATATATGTGAACATAGAAGTTGGTATCCTGCATATACCGAAACGAAACTAGACATTACTGTAGTCGGTGTATACACTGGCATTGGGGTTAATCAGGATGAAATGTGAACATCTTACATATAGGTACATTTCTTTGTTCGCATGTCTGTAGTGATGACACAATTGCAACATTGTATGTACTAGTTGTATTTCTATGTTAAATATAGCTGTATTAACTCATTGTCATACTTCCAACGATAGAGTAAATAATGTTAGAACTAGCTACAACAGTGAACTCGACACACCTTGCAACTTGAACATGACTAGAATGTGGGTGGGCAGGGGGCGCATCTGTTGTTGTTATAGTATATATCAAGAGAAAAGTGAACGTTGACAAACAAAATAAGCAACACTGTCATGTGTTCAAAATTAAGGTAGTTTAATACTTTACTATAATGGATATTTTTCTAATATTTGTCACGTGGTGTGTAAGAGTCTGTGGGCAATTCATTTTTTTGTGTTTTATGAAAGAACATGTTGTAGGCAGAGTGAAACAACAACGCCTGATTAACTCCGAAGAATCAACAAAGATACAATATTGCATTACTCGTATCGTCCTTGTACGTGCTTGTATAGACAGTACATGGAATGTCGTAGTAGTAGTATATTCACTATATTAAACATGTGAATGGGATCGAGATAAGTAAATAAGCATGCGCAGTAGTTGTATTAATTTTACCTTGACCCAGAGAATACGTAGCTGACTGATTCCCACTCAATACCGTCACGTTTGAACGCCGGGACAGTGAACCCGTTACACTTTGTTTTGTAATTAGAGAAAATCTACATCGCGATAAATTAATCACATATTATATAGTTTGTATCATTGTATTACCCTTAGCCACGGTCCGATTTTGGGGTTTTAATTATTATTATTAAATAATTAAAAATATTAATAACGTCATAATATGCTAATTAAAAACGGTCGCTCGCCGGGGTCGTTCAAGTCGCTTGAAACAGATGTATAGTGTACGTGCACGCCGTTGCGATTATAACAGTTTAGTCTGAAACCCTGACGACCGACTGAAGTTACGTGGCTTCGATCTGTTTGCCAAGTGATCGACCGTGCGTTTGTAGGCCCTTATGAGTCAGACAGAGCCATGGCAACGAACGTCTTATTATATTAACACGACCCGGGGTGAATCAACGAATGAGTGGTCAGTAAACTTATATCGTAATACCAGTCAACAAACAGGAAAGGAGATTGGGTTGACCTTTCCAAGGAAAAACAAAGTGACTCAGAACGTGTCTTCGGTATCTGATCAAAGACGCCGAAAATAGTAATAAACACTGCGAGTACGTGCTCCGAAAGAAAAAAAAAACACGGGAATAATACAAGTATATAATAAAACGCGGTCATTATAATATCACTACATGACGATTTACGACAGGTAAATAGTCAAAATAATAAAATTAGGGAAATCCAAAATAAACAGGCACCGGGAGATATTTTCATATGTTTAAATTGATTAGTAAATATTATCAAAATGAAGTTTTCCCGTAAAATAACGCTATAGTAGATCACGGTAAAAGCAATCCTAAATGGCCAAAACAAATTCGTGACCTGGAAATAATTAAAAACGAAACTGTAGTAACAGGTCGACGTGACGTTGTGGCAATATACATTGAGTGGCGTGCTGGACGACGCAAACGTTTGATTCAAGCATGGAGCTTCATGATTCAAGGCAATCCCAGCGTCAAGCCAAATTTACATCCAGTTGCGTAATAATCACAGCTGGTAATCGGTCAATGGGTTCATTGTTTACGTCTTGGAGAAGAGTGAAGATAAACAAGAGGGCTCACTAAACCGTGGCAAGTGTAAATACGGGCTAACTGCTTAATGAATAATTCAGATAAGACAATGTCCTTGGTAGATGAATGCAATTAATTTGCATTATAATTGTGGTCGCGTGCCCGGCAACGAGACGGGTCATTACAGACATTGTTAAAATTCAGACAACGTGCGGCAGCTGTAGTCAACACGTCCCACACGAACGCTCTGATTGGCTGATTATTATTGTGATTGACAGCATTCGCGTGCCGTCGTTGTTCCGTCCTATTTATTCGCCAGCACTTGCGTAGCTTTGTTCAGTTCTGTGGTATTTCTCGTAGCCTTCGAACGTCTCTCACAATGCTCTTTAAATCTAACATCACCACTCCGGATACAAGCACTTTTTCTAAGACACAGACAATGTCTGACGACAAAGTCTTACAGATGTGTATGATAGCCAAGGAACAGCTTGAGAAACTGCAGACTGCTCATCGGTAGGTTCATTATGTGGCTTTTGCGGGTTTCTCAGCGCATGGGGTTGTTAGCGTGCTATAAGCACTGCTCGGTCATCTCGGGGCCGGTCTGGGCTAACTGTAACGTGACCACGATGTCTTGGGAATCCGTAAACAGTATTTCTAATGTTTTTTTATATTCTCTTGTAGATACTCGAAAAAAATCCTAGCCACTAAGCGATGTGATCATTGTCAGAAAGCGATGTTGTTTGTCGGTCTTCGGTGTAAGGATTGCAGGTATGTCCATGGACTTCGAACTTCCGGGGTTATAACGCGGCGGGGGAGGGGGGGGGGGTCGTCAATCGTCATCTCGTTCTTCTATCGTGATACGCAGTTCGAATTATCAACTTAATTAATCCGATTTATTTCTATTTACTTACAGATTTAAATGCCATCGCAAATGCGCCAAAGTAACAGACCACCGTTGTCAACATGTTTACAGAGCTCTCGAAGCGGCGACTGCATCAGGTGAGAAAATAAATTTGTTCTTAAGAATATACTCGTAGTTCCGTCGTAATCCGTTATTTCAATTGATTTTTTTTTTTAGATTTCCGCTTCCCCTCTTTTTTTTTTTAATTCCATTGTTTTACTTCCGAGTTTCAAAATCTTGTTTTGACTTGTTTCGTACATATCCGACGAGCCATTCATTTCGCTCCTATTTTAAGCTACGGCCACACTCCCGACCCAATTTCCCTGCCACTTCAGCCAACAATGGCATCACATTAACACCAGGGTTTGTACCGCGAATTGAGGTTAGTCCAGACTGAGTAAAGTGGCGATAGCGAGGTGTTTATCGATGTTTTCTAACGTGCCATTACATGTGTTTCTATTTTTACAGCCAGCCAAAGATTGCGTCCTTGTAGGGCTTTACTGGTCGAGGACAAGCAGTTTGTCGCCGAAGACAGGACCAATGATTGTATGTTTGCAATGCCCAGATCACCAAGACAGGCTTTTATTAGCATGCAAGACAACTGTAGTCGTCATAGGGATATATCTGATGACACTGTCGCCGTACTTAACGATTCTGTCTGCACTGATGATGTGTTTATCGACAGCGGAATTCATACCCCGCTGAATTTGAATTTGCGAGACAGGGAATCTCGTTCTTCATATTCGTCAAGTTATTGTTCGTGTCCACGAAGCAGCATCGCCTCAGACACTGCGAATCAGTGTTGTCTTTGTGAGACTGCAAACTGCATGTGTGGCGATGGACATCAAAGTTCTCCGAGGTGTGTACCCGCGAGCAATAAACACTTACAAAGTTCTCATCGTCCTGCAGACAACGCAACCTGTCTGGTACTATGAGCTGTCCTCCCAAAATGAGAAATACTTCAAAGTTGCATTTATGCTCAACATGGCCATCGTTTAAAGGTAAGAATATTTTTTGATATTTTAAGAATTACGTGCACTGTGTGTGCGTGTGTGGCTAACGGATGGTGCAGCGTCCCTTTGTTGTCGTTGTTCATTGTTGACCCTTGCTATTGTCGGCCTTTGTGATGAACGATAACTATTGTGCGGGACAAAGCACCTACGTGGGGCATGCCAAGACGGGGCTTTATTCAGCATTCCTAAACCTAGTTGTAACAATGAACAAAAGGGCAGACCAACAGAGATTATACTCGTACCCCCTGATCGCTCAACAATTCTGACACGTGCAGGATTAAAATCCCAAGAACACTGAACACATTTTTATTTAAAATATGACACTATTGAGTTGCACACCAATTACCACAGGGCTTCTTGAAGTCAGTTTGTGTGAATCATAAAATCTTATAGACATAGATTCATTGACCTCTAAGACTGACTCATATATTTTATTTTTCTTCCAGCAGTTGAGTCATCCAGTGGGGAAATATATGATTGGCAAGTTGAGTCCCAGGCAGTGCAGTATGAAAGGTACATAGTCTTAATAAAATTGAATTTACAACTTTATCAAGGTTATGCTAATATTGTGAATTCCTTTTTTCAATTTGTTGTCATGCAATGTGCACGAACTATAAAAACAGGAATTGAAGGACCATTGAGTTTTATGTAAATACAGACAAACAGCTGGTCAACACTTATTTCTGGGTTTTTAATTAATATTTTTTAATTTTTGTTTACAGTGAAGACATTCATAGCAAATTAGATGAATGGAAAATCAACTATGATGATATAGAATTCAACCAATGTCTGAAGAGAGGAAAAAATACAGCTATTTACAGGTATGTAAAATTACCATTACAAAATATTTCATAATTACCATGAACGGAAAATTTTACAATTCAAATCCATCCATGGGTTTCCCGCTGATTACTCATGATTCAAATTTTGTATTATATAGGGGTCGTTGGCATGGTGATGTTGTAATTCATACATACCACTCGTCCAGAGATGTTAATGAGTTTCTTGAAGAAGTTGCTATACTCAGTCGTATCCGTCATGAAAATATTGAATTGTTCATGGGTGTGAGCACCGAACCATCAAAACTGGCTGTTGTCACAAGGTAAGAATAAACCAGATATTGCATTTACTGTATCCTGAATCATTGAAATACAACTTAATTTAACCATAGTTAAAGAATTAATTAAAATATTAATTATGTTTTGTTTTTTTCAGTGTTCACAAAGGTCCATCTTTATTTGAACACCTTCATCTGAAAGGAGAGAAAATGTCAGTTGCCAGCAAAATTCACATAGCTCGTCAGATTGCACAGGGTGTCGGATATCTTCATGCAATGGGAATCACGGTTGGAAGTAAACTCAATTCCAGAAATATATTCTTGGAAAGCAAAGTCAAAATCTGTCTTCTTGGATTCGATTTTGTTGAAGTACAGAACACCAGGTAAGCTTTGTTTTCCCTTTAAAATCTCTTGTGAACAACAAAAATAAAAAAAGTTCTGTAAACCAATTTTTTTTTTCCTTCTTCATCAGTATATTAATTGTTTTTACTTGTTATTTACAGAGATGATATTGCCTGTCTTCCTAGCGGTTACTTATCATACATGGCACCAGAGTTGTTACGAACTGTGCGTGTTGAATCATCTGAATTGGTCACTGACATGCAATACAATACTACTACTGATATCTTTGCATTTGGGTAAGTATCTTTGATTTTTACTTTGTGGGGATTTTTATTTTATTATTGTCGGTTTGGGTATTAAATTAGGAACCAATCGCGACTAGACATTCATCTAACAAACTCATTATTAATTTTTATTTGCAGAACCATCCTATATGAATTATTTTCTGGCAGTTGGCCTTTTGATGGTGAAAATAGTTACGCCTTAATATGGAGTTTATGCAATGGTGATATGCCGTCGTTATCCAATGTTGACAGTCCAGGGCAGATAAAAAATATCATTAATGAATGCTGGTCAGAACATCCACTGGACAGACCATTAATTACAGAAGTGGTGAAAGAATTACAACATAATGTAAGTAAAAGTATATAATAGTGTGCATAATAAGATTGTTTGCATAATTTATTTGACAAGTCGAGTTCATATTACTGAAGTAGACATTAATATTTTGTTCATGATTCTTATTTCAGGTGCCGTTACATAAAAAACACAGTCAATCAGAGCCGGATCAGTTGAACAGACTGTCAAGTCCAACACATCTACGAAGTCCATGGAGATAAGAATTAACCTGTGACCAGTTTACATGGTGCTTCACACTTGGTGCTATATTCAATACATATCAACTCTCCCAAGACAACATTGTTAGCTGTTCCTAGCTTGTACATCTATGTAACACATGCCAACAGTGGTTGGTCACCATCTTCAATCGTACCTACCTTGCAATTGCCTCGAGGCAAGCCAAATTACAAACATATTTTACTAATTGACTTTTGTAAAGATCAGTTAAAAAACTTTAAACCATATGCAAATAATTTTAATTTTGCAAAAATGTTGAAACTTGGTGCAATATTGCAAAGAAAACTGTTTCTTTTTAGTTGCTATTGGCAACAGGTGACACTCATGAGAAATTTTACTTCTGAAACTTTCAAATGATCATTGAAATAACACAGAAGTTTTTTAATGTCAAGTACTTTCTAATTTATTTAAAAGGTTGCAATATTTAAATGTTAATACCCGTCATGTGCAATTATGTAATATTTATTTTAAAGAAATAAGAGTCTTCCTGAAGTCTGCCACCTTGTGGTGTTCAGGTCCCATACTATCAATGATGCAATCAGAATACAATGTGACAGATTTTATAAAAATATGGTACTGTCTTTTTTTTTTTTTTTGAACATATTAATGTGAAATTTGGCTTTCCTTATACTTTTCAATAAGGTGGCAATTTTTGATACAGAATGTGTATATTTATCAGTAATTTTACATATCTGAAAAAGGTGTAAATATTATTATTTAGAGATATTGAAGATGAAATAAAGAATATTGTTATAAGTAATATTTTTTGTTATCGCATTGTACTTCATGTTTGTTTTTTTGCAAATTTTTACAGTACATTGAACCCTAAGTAAACCTGAAGGCCAGATCCGTATGTGGAACCCTGGATAGATAAAATAAAGTGGAGAATGACTACTATTCACTAAAACCAATTACTCTACAGAGTGTTTCTAAAGATGCCATCCTTCACTGGAAATCTGACCTCTGCATATGCTACATAATCTTTTCAAGGTCCACTCCTCACAACACATGGCTCTCTCTAGGTTGCGAAATACTGTGGAATACTTTATTTTCGCTGGAAGGGCTTTTTGGGCGTTCTTTATGGAATTTATTTTCACTGATTTTTAATGAGTTGAATGTGAAATATAGGAAAAAAGTATATTCGCTGGATTTTATTTTCACAGAATCATCCCTCCAGCGAAAATAGCTAAAATAAATTCTAAGCGTAAATAAAGTACTGTAAAGGGGTTAATTATTCATTGGGTTTTAATTTAGCTTATTTCGCTGACTGGAAAATGCGCTAAATTAAAACACAGTGAATATGTAAAATTTAGCATAGAACACATTATCTAAATGACAAAACCGTGAATTTAAAACCCACTGAATATGCCTGAAATGGTAAATCAGCGAAATTTAAACCCAGTGAGAATTAGTCATTTTACAGTAGTCTACAGTAACTCATTTTCTCTTCCACTGAAATCAAAATATAAATGTCAAAGTTTCATATTTGGTGGTGTATGTCATTTCCATTTGTAAATAGCTTGACATATGACATTTAAGCCATGTAGTATTTTAATAATCAATAGAATTGTGTGGGTTTATAGAAATCAAAATATCACGATATCAGCCATACCAAATATACTTGCAGTATTCTTGATTGGTTACCTTGTCCCAAACGTAAATCTATGTAGGCTGTATTCATCAAGACAGAACTAATCACTCCAACCGTGGGAAGTAAAAATGACAACAAAGTACTTGAAAAATGTACATTTCATGAAGCCATGAATGTTTTATTTGTAGAAAATGTTTTTAAATATTTCAAATGATGGTTGAAAACTTAGCTAATCAAATTTCACTGTGTACCCATCAAAACAATTTTCTTGGTACCATAAAATGAATATACAAAGTATTGTTAATTAAACGATCTGTGTAGTGATATTTGCAAACTGATTTAATTAAATAGGATGAACCCCCCATGTTCGGTTGTGATTGCTTATAGGTGATAGACATAACCAAAGGGCTTCTCTGGCAATGAAAATGTCTTTTTCAAATTTGAATGCAACATAGGGGTAAACATTTGATATGTTTCCATGATATCATTAATGTCTAAGTAAATTCATGTAAAATACTTTATTTTAGCTGGAATTAATTTTCACCGAAAGGACTTTTTGGGTGTTTTGTATGTAATTTATTTTTACTGATTTTAATGAGTGTATGTAAATTAAATATAGGAAAAAAAGATATATTCACTGGATTTTATTTTCACTGATTCATTTCTTTAGTGAACATAAATTCCAAGCAAAAATAAAGAACTTTACAGTACAGACAACTGCAATATTAAGATAAACTCTGACCAAGCACTGACAATTGGACCAGCAAAGCATGTTAGCTTCACTAATCCAGTAACCATGGAAACAGAAAAATAGCAAACTTTAATTAATTTAATAAATGTTAGTTTACTTGACATAAGTGACAACAATAAGCACACAGCTTGCCAAGATTTAGTATTGTTAGAGTAATTCAAGTTAATGTCTGATCTGAGGTCTAAATAAACTGTTGTAAATCCTATTACGCTTGAATATTTAATATATACTTGTATTAAAAGTTACATGAATTAAAATATAAAATTTTCATAAATTTAAAACATGTAAGCAACATAAATTACAGAAACAAATCAAAGATGTCTTGATCTAGAAAACCCTATATTCTTATGTAGAGAAACACACAATTCTAATTTCCATGCACTGAATACTGATGTTTTATTTAAAAGTCAGAAATAAGAATTATTAAATATAAAAAAACAGAAATAATTTATCAGTAAGACCCACTAAAAAACAATGTGCATGCATTTGAAAAAAAAATTATTGAGAAATACTACAGAAAAAAACAACAACACATTTTTGTAAGATAAATGCAAGCAAACATATATACAACACCAAACATTTCAAATACAAATTTAGCTAAAACATAAATAAAGGGAACAAACAATTTGCCCGGAGTTTCATCTCCAAACACAAAAAAAACACATATACTGTGATGTGTGCAATTGGATTTATTCTTCATACACACTATTTCAATAGATAAGAAGATGTAGAAAATTTCAATGTCAAGGAATAATGATCTACACATTCACTTATTAGAGGGTACCATAGACAACCACCTGTTTGATTTGAAGGTCAATTCCATGACAAAGGTCACATTGACACTACCACATGACACCTCAATCCCACTCATTAGCAGTCCTTTCACTGGCAGCAGCTAAAAGCCATGACAACATGGAAATCATAGAAAATACCCATGTTTAAATTCATCTTGTTTATACATGCATTTCTACAGGAAATACAGTCAACCATTCATAATTGGCAGCATACACTTTTTTTATTGTAAATGGTAGACATGAGTTTTAGGTACCATGAAATAAACAATGACCTAACACAACTTTTCTGAGGAGGCAGAAGGAGTATTTGAGACAAGAATGGAACGTTAAAAAGGTACATTGTACTATCTTCACGGCCTCCTTGTGACAGAGCCATGAAAAAATTTGCAATATTAAACACAGGGCATGAATTAACCAGAGTATTTAAAAATCAAACATGGTTAAATAAAACAGACAAACAAACCTTGTTTGGAATACATTTAAAATTTAGTGTCTTGTTTGTTTGTTTGTTTTAATGTAAGCTGACTAAACCAGTTAGCTACACTGCAAAACGAGGGTTAGTGACTGTGGCAGCTATTAGGTAACAAAATTGTGTGAATTCAGTCTGGATGTCTGGTCATGATAAATGGTAAAATTGGGTGTGACACTAGTCTAGTTACCAAATTAGTATGCGTGAATTCAGTCTGGGTGTTTGTTCACTAAGCGGTAAAGACTTGGGTGAGAGTCGTCTGGCTAGCAAATTAAGACGTCCAAGTCTGTGTGTCAGAATGCTCACTTTAGATGGCAGTCGTCTAGTTACCAAATTAAGACATGCAAGAATGGGTGTGTCTGTATGGTTCCTTGACTAGCAGATAATTTAGCTGTACACTAAAATAGACATGCAAGTCTAGGTGTCTGGTCACCTGAGCTGACAGACAACTTGTCTGTGGCAGACGTCTATTTTTGATATTAAGACATGAAAGTCTGGGTGTCACTGGCTAGCAGAGAATTTAGCTGTACACTAAAATTGACATGCAAGTCTCAGTGTCTGGTCACCTGAGCTGACAGACAACTTGTCTGTGGCAGACGTCTATTTTTGATATTAAGACATGAAAGTCTGGGTGTCACTGGCTAGCAGAGAATTTAGCTGTACACTAAAATTGACATGCAAGTCTCTGTGTCTGGTCACCTGAGCTGACAGACAACTTGTCTGTGGCAGACATCTATTTTTGAAATTAGGACATGAAAGTCTGGGTGTCACTGGCTAGCAAAGAACTTACTGTAAAAGGGTTAATTATTCACTGGATTTTAATTTTGCCTATTTCGCTGACTCAAACATTAAAACCCAGTGAATATGTAAAATTGAGCATAGAACACATTATCTAAATGATAAAACCGTGAATTTAAAACCCACTGAATATGCCTGAAATGGTAAATCAGTGAAATTTAAACCCCGTGAAAATTAGTCATTTTACAGTAGCTGTGCACTAAAATTTATATGCAAGGTGTCTGGTCACCTGAGCTGACAGAGAACTTGTCTGTGGCAGACGTCTATTTCTGAAATTAAGACATACAAGCCTAGGTGTTTAGTCACCATAGGTGGCACCAATACTATAAGTGTGACTTCAGTCTAGGAAATTCACACCCATTACACAGGTTAGGAATACAGATAGACAGAGTCTGGCATGCAACAATTCACGACCTATTTAAACTAAAACACAACACATTTTTATTTACAATCACTTTGTTTCTATACACAGTTTAAAAGTGATCATAATAAAAGAAAGTACATTTCAAGTTATAAACAGAATAATATTCTGTAACTGTTTAATTTTCATCGCAAATTTCGCTGACTCACAACAAATTTGTCTTTCCAGATAAAATCAGTTTACAGCATAACCAATATTTGTATGAAGTGTTTTTAGTTCACTTCTGTTTCAACAGTTTCAGACATTCATCAAAATTTATACGAAATCTGTCTGGTTCAAAATTGTAGATTTAAAAAAATTAAATTTACATTATGTAGTGACTGTTTGGAAGAGGAGGGTGGTGGTTGGATATCTACTTTTAATTGGGGGTGGGACATTGATTTACGTTTTAAAAAAAATATGGCAGTGTGATGCAAAAAAGATGCCAGTGTGATTTCTTCAGATATAAAATTTGTTTTTCATTTTACAAGTAATGTATTATTTAGAAAAAATTTAGACAAACAATTTTTAAAAAAACAGAGCTTGTTGCGTTTTGCATAGTGACATATGGCAGAATTGACGCACGTTGGGATAAGAGAACAGCTGAGCTTGTTTACAAGCAAGCAAAGCTAATATATGTATTGCTACAGCTACAGAAATGATAGAAGACTTGTCTCTTAAAGCTGCCATCTGAACATAACGTTTAAGATGCAGATTGCAAATGTCAAACTATTACACGATATTTGACAGACCACAAAGCAGGAATGTTACCATGGTGACAGTTACATATAATTATACAATTGCACTAACTGTAGCTATGGCCACAGTTCAAGTCAAAACCAAATTGTGTTTGTGTGATCCAATTAATGTATTTAGTTTAGTCATTTTGCTTGTAATCACAAGTTGGCGTTATTAATGCGATTATAAATAAAAACATTCAACGAAATAACATTTATTTAACTCAGCTCAGCGTTTTCAGTATTAGAATTTCAGTGTTATAAATAGAACTCGTATAGTCGAGAGGGAATACTTGTCAGTTATGCAACTGTGGGAAAATAGGTACATACCTACTGGGGTTATCCAGTGTAAATAAAGATTATCTAATTATCTAACTAAAATTTCACAACTAAGGTCAACCCTATACAGGGGAGGTCAATACTACAATAGTTTTACAGATAGTTAGCAGGTAATTGCACTCTGAGAACATTCATTTGAACAATTATTATCTTGAAGTCAATTCATTAATATGTACATACATGATGGTACTGTCTCCCACGGTAAATCGCAATTCTCATGAGCACATTTCCCTTTTGTCAAACAAAGGAATGATGACACAAAAAAAAACTATTGTGTAAACTTTCTTTTGAAATTTTGAACAGCGAGATAACTTCTCTATTGTTCATAATGATGAGAACGATGGTGAGAAGAGCTTACCATGTCAGTATCACACTACATACAGGGCCTTATTTATAGAAGTAATGATAAATTTATCTATGAACATAATTACCATATTTGATCTATTGTAAAATCATTTATTTTCACTATTTTGAAAATGCCTGGATGTCTGCCCCGAGAATACAAACTGTTAACATACTGCTGTGTTGACTTTCCCCTTTAATGGCATGAGTGAGCATCTTACAAATGTCAAAAAGCACTGCAAAATAAGATACAAAAGGTATTTCTGTTGGCGACATAAATTTGACTCCTGACATTTATGTGAGCACACATAAAGATCATGCATGCCTTCAACTCACAACATTTCCTTTTTTTGTTATAACAGTGTTAAAATATGTTTCTAAATATTAATTCATGTAGCACAAGAGTGGCACAATTAGTATTAAATATAAGTATGAAGTTTACAATTGTGGGCAGCATGGCATAAATAATGTAAATCATTTAATTTCCACAATTTGATGGCATTCATGGAGGCAAAAATTTTCTGAATCTCAAAGTGTCTTCGCACCTTTAGGGCACCTAGGAAATTGTCACTACTCCAAAATATCATAAATCAGTTAAAATTTATTCAACAAAATGAAAGCCATTTTTTAATAATACAAAATCAGATATTAACATCACCATGACATAGTTCTTATCAATAGTTGACATTTTTGTTCAGTACAAAAAGATTATTGGGTTGCAGAGTGAAAGGTATTGTACACCCCACGTTTGTTACCATGGAAACTAGTCTTGTAATTGCCTTATATTCTTTTTATCATTCAGAACTTGAAATGATGTAAATCTGAATTTAGTGAGGAACCAAATACATTGTATATTGTCTCTGATTCACAAAGTGTGTGCATGACAATTTTAATATTCTTGTATACTAGTAGCTGTAATAAGCTTAGTGTTACATGGAATTATTAGACATACAACTGCAAACTCTGCAAAGGATGGTTGTGGCTAACACAGTCTTCACATAGGAATTTCCTAGCATTTTGGGAAGTTAATATTCCCTATGACTGGTGTTTTTAAAAGTCTGTGAACAAACAATTGCCTAAAACTATGAATTTCATTTGTACGCATTTTAATCAATTTTCAAAAGTTTAACACAAAGAGAAAGTTACTGTTTCCATGGAAACAAGTTCAGGTGACACCCTCCCCAATTTATTTGTTCTTTATCATTGAGAAGTTACTTGACAATAACTTTTCTTCAGCATAATTAAAATGTTTGTAGTGGTTTTGAAATTTCATATTATTTTCACTGGCACTGAGGTTTTTGTATTGAAATGCATGTACAAGCTGATGAGCCAGAACATTTTTTCAACAAAGTGAACAAAGCCCATGCATTAAGTAACAGATGGTAAAACAACAGCTATCAATTCTCTTATGACATAATCCTTGTAATCTAAGTAGTCATGGTAACCAACCTCACTGACCTGTATCGTGGTTGCTGACCATCTCTTGTAATAGTATGATAACCAGTCCTACCCACATGCAACCATACTGTTTTATGCTGCAACTATGTTTTGACAGACTGAACGGCCGTCTGACAGAGAGTATTAAAAGGACAATTGAAATATACATCAACTCTTGTTAAATCAGAATGGAAACAAAATTCAAATTTCCATAATACTATAACAGGTTCTGTTCTCGTCTCTTTCAAAAAAATATGAGCTGGAGTTTGGAAGCTATCAAGTATTCTACCTATGTACACAATGTAACCCCACAATATTCAACGATATTATCGTCTGTAGCGGTAACGCTTAAAATGAAACCACAGCTGGAAAATACCATTACTATACTGGCAACGGAAACCATGGCGATGTGAATATTCCCATTCCCGATTGACTATTTTAAAAGCAATGTCCTGAAAAAAAAAAAAAAGAAGCTATCAATGGAAGGTCATGTGAGTACTGTAAAATACTTTATTTTAGCTGGAATTAATTTTCGCTGAACAGACTTTTGGGTGTTTTGTATGGAATTTATTCACAATGATTTTTGACGAGTTGACTCTGAAATATATATTTGGTGGATTTTATTTTCACTGAATCTGATGTGTCTGTATATCATACTGTGTTTGCTCTATTAGTAGATGCGTAAAT